CAAAGAGGGAGGGTGCCCAACAGGTCTCATCCTTTGGATTTTTCTCATAATCTCAAAGCATCTGGATTTAGTGTCAAGATCTTTTTTTATTTTTTAAAGATTTATTTTATTTATGTATACAAGAGCTGGGGTACAGGCCGGGGCAGGGGGCAGTGAGAGCATTCACCAGAGACAGAAGGGAGCAGAACAGGCAGACTGAAATACATTGCTGAGGGGAGCAGGAGGCAAGACAACAGAGTTCTGCTGCGCCATGTGGGTCAGCTCCCTGGCCAGGGATCGAACTCATGTAACAGTGGCTTCTGATAGCTTCATGGTGCTGAGATTCAACCTCTTGCACCACCAGGGAGGCCATAGTGTCAAGATCTTAATTTTTGGGTCCCTTCCTTCCAGAACTGCATGGTCCATAGGGCAAAATCAGTAGGCTTAATGTTCCAGGATATCTATGCTTGTGCAAGAGCTATTATCAACGAGGAGAAGGACACCTTTATGGTACTGTCCTGGTAGGAATGAGAAACTTAACTCACCTTCAGAGTGGAAAGTGATAGTACCCTGCTTGTTTGAATCAACAGCTGCATCAGTTCTGGAACAGCCCAGGAGCCTAGCAGCCCAGCAGATCCACAGATAAGGCAAGAATCTCCCCAGCCTGGTAATTGCAGTGGGGACCTGCTAACTCATTAGAAGTAACACAGATCCTCCCATAGACTCCATGACAAAAACTTAACATATTTGCTCTCTTCCTCTTGTTCAAGAGAGTAGGCTTCCCCTCTTAACTTCTTTGGGCTTGTAAATATACCTACGGCTTGTGTGATAATTGACTAACAGTCTTGTGGACAAACCCCAGTTCTTCCCCAGTGTGACCAGGGCAGACTCAAAAACAGAACTGGGGACACCTTGTTTCACAGGCTGCCTATAGGCCAGATACCCCTCTGCTGGTCCCAAGTCCCAATATTCACTGACAGAAGGCTTAGTGTAGGAGAAAACCTGATCTGAGGTAACCTCAGAACATCCTACACACTCCTCACACTGGAGAAGTCAATTCAGAGCTCAAAGTGACACCAAGGATCTTGGGAAACGGGAACTTGAATTCATTGTGACAAATTGAGTCACCACTGGATTGAGATTTATTAATAGGCCACGTCTTTAAACCCAGTAATGTGTACTTGAATCTGCTCTTTTAAGAGTCAACTAGTGATTGTCAGTTGCCAACCTTTAACCTTTTAATGTGTGAAGGCATTAACCTTCCTTACCAACATACTATTTTAGAAATAATGACTCAATATTGTCACATTGAGTTTTCACACAGACCTCCCACGTGAACCACTCGCCCACGCTGCAGGAAATGGGACAGTTGTCTCTTAATTTACAGACAAGGAGATTGAATCTCGAAGAAGCTAACTTAATTGCCTAAACGGAAATGCAATTTGTAAGCTGAAACAAAACCTATTTCTCTCTGAATTGCAGCGTTTTCCTAGAATAGTTTACTCTGAGGGAGGCATAACTTGTCTCTCTAAAGACTTAGTTAATGGATACATCATGGTCTAAAAACTGTTAAGTGCTGCACAACATGAGGTTACTTTGTTGTTTACATGCAAGCATTGGTCTACAATCTTAACAATAAAAGTACAAAAACTGTTCTGGCCTGAGGCACTGTGCCAAGATCTAAGTGCCACCCTCCTGGTCTCCTTGTCCCCTCATTTTCTTTCCTACATGTCCTTCCACCCAGGCCTCATTTTAAACCTTGATGTTCACACTTCCAGGCTTCTTCCTTTTTATTTTTTCATCAGTATGATGACCAAATTCCACCTCTAGAGAATTCCAGAATTCTCTGTGGTTGTAAACATTCCTCTGAATTCTGTCTAGGTTCAAGGTCAAATGATATGGGACACATTTGTATGTCTTACAGACATGAATATAACTGCTGATTGCCAGTCCTCTCCCCCATTTTTGTCCAATCAACCCCATCTCAGTATTTTTTAAAGATTTATTTACTCACGCATACAAGAGCTGGGGGTCAGGTCAGAGATGCGGGGGATGAGAGGATTCACCAGAGAACCAGAGACAGAGCAGAAGAGAATACTTGGGAGCAGTGGGTGAGAAAGGAGAGGTCCGCTGTGCCATGTGGGTCAGCTCCCTGGCTGGGGATCGAACTTGTGCAGCAGTGGCTGTGAATTTCTTCTAATACAGCATCTTAACCCTTGTGCTAACAGGGAAGCCCTCCATCTCAGTATTAAGGCACCACCAAAAAACCAAATCACTATTTTGTGATGGATACCCTATCAATTCTCCAGTATAAATCCAAAATAATGTTAAAAACCATTCCCCTGCCACTGCCCTAATTCAGACCACCCTCCCCATTCACCGTCAAGGTTCCAATGCCTTGTTCCTGGTCTGGACTCCTTTTAAACCCCTATAATCCATTCTCCATACTTCAGCTACAGAGAGTTGTTTTTTTTTTTTTTCCTTCTTTCCAGATTGGTTTTCTTGAAACAGGTCATACCATTTCCCTGCTTAAAATCCATCAGTGACTTTTTATTGCTCATGGAGTAAAATCTATTGTCTGCCCTTCTATTTCCACTTCCCTCCTCATCCACAATATTCAGCAGCTTCACTATGAGCAGTCTCAAATACACCACTTAGGGTGTGTTTCCTGAAAAACACCCTAGCTGCTGCTCATCCTTTGCCTGTGCCATCGCTGAAGCTAGAATGTTCCCTCTCTCTCTGGAAGGTATGTTTCTTCAACTCTAAGCTTACCCCTTTTCCTCAGAGGTCTTCTTCAGCTATCTAGTCGAAAGTGGGTTTCTCCCCCACCCTTTTCCCCACCTCATTTCCTCTTTCCCCCACGCTTTGAACAACGTGTTTTTTCCCTTTTTTTCTACTTTTGGCCTCCTAAGCCAATTTTTGGTCTGTGATAAGTTCTTAATAAATACTTCTTGACTGAATTAATATTGTGCTCTGAAGATTTGAAATGCTTCTGCAAAAACTTCTGCCCCCCCCCATTTGTCCTACCTCTGACTCCTGAGAGCCTCCAACGTTAAAGTTCTCTGTTTCTGCTGCCTTCAGCAGGTTTCATAACCCACAAAGAATGGGAATATGTGGAATGATGTAGGGACACTCAACACTAGCAGTGGACTTAGACATTCTGTCCTCACATGAGTTCATTTAAATGTAAATATTTCATTATGAGATATAAAACATAATATGTGCTTAAAATCGAGATGATGTTGGCCCTCCCTGGTGGCACAGCGGGTTAAAGCACAGCACTGAGAATCTAAAGCCGCTTCCGCATGGGTTCGATTCCCGCCTGCCCAGGAGGTGACCACATGGTGTGGCAGACCTCTCCTGACTCGCCCACTGCTCCCCTCAGCAGTGTACTTCGTCGATCTGCCTGTTCTGTTCCCCGCTCTGTCTCTGGTGAATCCTATCACCGCCCCTGAGCCTCTGGCCTGTACCCCAGTTCTGTATGCACAAATAAATCATTAAAAAAAATGGAGATATTTTCTTTCCTCATGAAGAATATATCAGCCATAACTAAAAACCTAAAAGTTTAGAGTGGACCATTTGGGATCCTATGATGGGAAAGGGTAAGTAGGGGCCACTGTGACTCCAGAGTCCCTTTGGTCTACATCTCTTTTCCAAGAGCTTAGATATGGCACCTCTTATGCCCAAATCATAATCCTTATGAGGTCCCAACTCCTTTTGGGCCAAGGTCACTCCATTAAAGCAGACCCTCAACAGTTCCCAAGAATCCAGGCCCTAATACATGGGCCCAAGTCATAAATTCTCCCCTGTAGCACAAAATCAGGGCAGCCTGACCTCAGTAACAGTGTTAAGGTGCAGGTCCAAATTGGGGGATTGGGCCCTTTCCATAATCTCCCAGTGGGCCTTTACCACACTCTGCCTTCTCCAGTCATTTTTGGTTTCTGGAGCTTAACTGCTAGCAATGCCATCAGTATCTCAATGTGGGCTCTATCTGGCTTACTGTTCCCGATTCCAGAAGCTTTTTCTGCCCACTTGGCACCTGCTGCTATTTTCACGTCAAGAGTGAAAATCACAGTCATGGTGACTGACTTAGCTGGTAGAGGATACAGGGGGAGAAACTCCATACCTGGACTTACCTGGCTGATAGATTTTCCATTTCACAGTAAACACATTTGGTAGTGCTTATGTGGTTTGACTAGAGTCAAAATGAATGGCACCTCCCCAAGTTCCAGCTCCCTAAAGAATGTCTCCTCACTCTTTTTTCCAAAATTATGATCAAACTCTTATCCAAAGTTAACCACAATTCACTGAATTCTTCTACTTTTTTTCTCCCTTAATCTGGTTAAAATTCTGAAGAGCCCTGACTCCCTGAGGAAGGTGAGGGAGACTAAAGCTGAAGCCTCTGTACAGACATTCAAGAGTCCCACCTCTACCAAATGAGGTGGTCTCTGTGGCTTTCATAGAGCAGCATCTGTGAACAGATTCTGGGGGTCCCACAGAAAAGCTGCAGGAACAGTAAAGAAATGAGAAGGACTTGGAGAGGGGATTCACTAATAAGCTGTGCAAACTTGCTAAAACATAGCTCTCCCGGGCACTTTTCTGTGGTTAGAAAGTACATTTATATTTTTAATTTTTTTTATAAGCCTGTGACTTTCAGACAAAGCCAAATGTTTTAATTACAAAACAATGCCTACACATTTTATGTTTTTCTGCTCCATCTTCCAAAAAAAAAAAAAAATTTAAAATACGGGCGCCTTTGTGCAGAACTATGTGCTCATCTGTTACCAATTCTGCTGGGAAGTCAGTCTGCTCCATTTTGCTGTCAAGCGAAGTATTACGCTTAGCCAGTGGGGCACTTGGAATCGTCCCTGTTCGTTACCACATACCCTGGGAAGTTTCACATAGTTTAGAAGAAGCTTTGATTCCACTGTCCCTTCTCTGTGACTAACAAAATCATAGGCCAGAGATATGTCAGCCTCCTCTGTCCATGCCCAAGTGTCCCTGCTGGCCCTGGAGGAGCACTAGGGTTCCTCCTCACCAACCATCTCACCATTGTCGCTGCCCTGCACCTGTCGCCTCTGCTGCACCAGCTGTATGTCCAGTTCTCTGAGCTGCTTCAGAAAGCCCCGGTTGGGTAGGACACAGCGGTTCTTGGCCACTTGTTGAATGGCATCCACCAAAGTCATGTTCCTGTGGATCATCAGGTAGGCTAGGACCAGTGTTGCTGACCGGCTGCGGCCCATGACACAGTGAACCAGGATCTTATCTGAAATGGGGTATGGAGAAGAGACACCAAGTTATACTAGCCGTTACTGTATTGTCACCACTATGCACACTTGTAGGAAAATAAAAAGTGAACTTTCCTTAAAATATGCTTGATGAAACAGTAAAAATTAATTTTATCTAACTTCACTATTTGGTTACACTTCTTAAAATTCTGTGTGATGGGACCATCCCTGGTGGCACAATGGGTTAAAGCATAGCACTAGGAAGCTCTCCATAGCCACCGCAGCACGAGTTTGATCTCTGACCAGGGAGGTGACCCAAATGGCGTGGCAGACCTCTCCGTCTCACCCACTGCTCCCCTCAGCAGTGTATTTCAGTCAATCTGCCTGTTCTGCTCCCCACTCAGTCTCTGGTGAGTCCTCTCACCACCCGCACCTCTGGTATGTACCCCAGTTCTTATGTGCGTAAATAAATCTTTAAGAAAAATTCTGTGTGATGAAATGGGATGTACATAGTTTGGCTGCACCCAAAGTGTAATGTTTATCTCAAGGAAAAGCACATGGGTGATTGAGTGGCAGGTTGAGTTAACCTCTGTTTCACAAGGCACCATTTTTACTTAGAAAACTTAATTCAAACTTGGATATTTAGCAGCTTTTTTCTCAAAAGTGATTAAAATGAGCCTTTTGTATCAAAGAAAACTGATAGTTGTTGCCAGTGATAAAATACAAGCTTCCAAACAAAAATTTGAAAAACAAGAGAATTTTGGAAAACTTGTGGTTGTAGCCATGAGGCTGACAGTTTCCTAATACTTTTAGGATTTCTCTGTTAAGATCTGTATTGATATTAACAAGTATGTTTTTTGGATAATGTACAACTTGGACTTAGTAAACCAATGTTTTCCAAATGACTCATGTAGGATATTACAAAATTATGCATGGGTAAAAAATGTCTTCAAAGTATGAGACAGCAAGTTCCTTAGGGACTCAACTACAATGGCAAGGAAAACAAAAGCAAATATAAATCCATGGGACTGCATCAAACTGAAAAGCTCCTGTAAAGAGAAACACGATCATGAAAACCAAAAGACACCGTATGGAATGTAAGAAAACATTTGTACATCATGCATCCAACAAAGGGGCTAAGATCCCAAATCTGCAAAGGACTCATAGAACTCACTGGTAAGAAAACAAATAACCCAATTGTAAAAATGGCAGAATAGCTAAATAATTCTCCAAAGAAGACATACAGATGGCCAACAGGCCCATGAAAAAGTGTTTCTCATCAGGGAAATGCAAAATCACAAATGGGACATCACCTCACACTTGTGAGTGTGGCCCATATCAAAAAGACCAGAAGCAAAAAGTGTTGACAGAGGTGTGAAGAAAAAAGGAGTCTTTGCATACTGTTGGGAATTAAGACTAGACCAGCATCTATGGAAAATGGTATGGTGGTTTCTCAAAACATTAAACAGAGATTTACCATCAATCCCTCTCTCCTAGGTAGAATACACAAACATTCATTCAAAAGGATTGCGGCATTATTTACAATAGCCATGCTATAGAAACCACATAAGTGCCCAAGAAAAGATGAGTAGAAAAGGATGTGATATATGTACAAAATGGGATACTACTCAACTATAAAAAAGATGAAATCTTGTTATTTGCAACAGTCTGAATGGAGCAGATGATGCTAAGTGAAATAAGTCAGAAGGAGAAAGGCACGTATTAGATGGTTTCATTCATATGTGGAATGTAAAGAAACAAAACCGAAACACACAAAAAAGAAGTATAATGATATTGACAAGTGGTTTTTTTTGAATAATGTACAATGAAAAATGTCAACATTAGAAAGACCTATATGACCTATTAAATCAAGTTTTTCCAAATGACTAATGTGGGATATTACAAAATTATGCATGGCTAACAATGGACTATGTGGAGGATTCTTGGGGTGTTTGTGGTAGATGTGGTGTGATAACATACTTTTAAAAATAAGTTTACCATCAGTCCCTCCCCTAGGTATCTACCTGTAGCATACACAAACACTCATTCAAAGGGATAAGTGCACCCCGATGTGCAATATACCCCTAAATCATAAGTAGTGCTGTAAACCAGCATAACCTCAGTCAACACTTAAAAGCTGAGGGGAAATATAAGACAGTTCAGTGGTTTTCACGTAACAGATGAATAGCTCCTGTATGAAGTTTATTGATAAGGCTTCAAATTCTACATTACAACTCGCCTTTGAGAGCCTATCATTTGTTGAATTTTCTGGTGTACTAGCAAAGAAGAATACCCACAATTATCTGAAAAAGTAAAATTTCTCTCTCAAATACATATCTGAGTGAGACTGGATTTTCTTTATATTCTTTAACCAAAACATCAAATATCACATCACAATAGATTGAATGCAAGAGCTAATATGATAAATTTTAATCAACTCCATTTGGTGGTGCTCTTGAGCTCAAATAATGCATCAGTGATCTCATTTCATCCTTGATACCACCTCATGGTTTCATCATCATTCCTGCATTATGGATGGGGAAATAGGTTCACAGCGGTGACAGAGGTCACCCTGAAAGCTGATGCCATCACTAGAAATAGTTCAAAGCAACATGTCATTGTATGCTATACACTGGCCACCGTTCATTGTGTTCTGGGGACAGAGAAAGTAATGAGATTGTCCTCTCTGGCCACCCCCACCCATGCCATCCCATGGTTGCACTCCCAATGGCTTGTGGGATTGCTCTATGGGCTTGAGCTAGCTGGGACAACTTGAGTCTTGTGATCCGTAGCTGTCCTTGTTCCAGAGTCTCAGATCTGAGGCCTGGAAAGATGACCATGAAGGCACTCATGGACATTTCTAGGTTTGTGGAGCATCATCAGGATATGAGAGCAGCTTAGAAAAGAACACCTGTGAATGGATGTAGCTCCCTGTCCCTGCCACTCTGCCCACTCACCTTCCTCACAGACCAGCCCAGAAGCATGGTATGGTCTGCAGCCACAGCGGCATGAAAAATGCAAGAGGCCTGGCCCACTGGCATTTGCTCCCACCACACCTGGGTTGGAGAGGCCTGCAACACCCTGTGCATGAGTCAGCTGTGTGAACTTGACTCATGCTCTCTCCAAATGCAATTCCTGGCACAAGGACACTCCAGAAAAATGATTAACTATCACAATTCATTTTCACAAACCTTGGCAAGCTGATAGCTGACCAGACAGGCCTCGCACCCCACCCTCCGAGTTACTGAGCTGCAAGTGTGTGGCTATACTGCTTTTTTCTTGTGACTTTGGCCAGAAAAGAGAGTGAGAACCAGCACCCCTACTCTTTGGAGTCTCCCCTAGGTTTGGAAGAGACTGGCTCCAGGCAATCATAAGGCATGACTGTCCACTCCTGGAGTGGAATGTCTACCTCTGGCGTTCTAATCCCCACAGATTGTTCCAGAGGTTGCCTGGCCCTTTGCCAACTCTGCTGATAACTAAAGCATTTCTTCCTCTACTGGCAAAAAGGGTAATTCTTTCTGTCATGACTAAATACTTGAAACAGATGAAAGCTGTAGTTCATTAAGTCTATTGGGAGTCTAAAGTCTGTTAAATGGGAGGAGAGGTGGAGGGGGCAGGGGTAGCGGAAGAGGAGATGATAGGGGAGGAGGGTTGGGGTGGTGCTCACCTCCAAGTGGAGCTTCTCAAGCTGAATTTTGTTTGCACCAGAGCTATTTTAAGCTCAGCCATGTGAGAATATAGGTATCCCTAGGGCAAGAGGCTTGTCCAAAGATCTAAGGGGACTATTTCCTCTTGGCTCTTAGGGTCTACTATGCACCCTCCTTTGGGGCCCAGGATGGGGTGGTGAGAAACTGCTACCAGAAGAATCCAGAACAGAAGGCGCTGAAGGTATCACTTGACCTGTTCCTAACATAGCCCACTTCAGAGAAATAAGGACCCTCTCTGTGAGCAAGATACCAACCAGGATTAGTGCTCTGAATTCAGGTAGCATTGCCAGGACAGGCATTTTCTATATCAGTGACTTTCAGACCTTTTAGTGTGTGACCTCTGAAAACAGAACTTAAAATTCGCAGTTATCATGTACACAGCCTCACCCTGCCCCTTATCTTCCAAGTGCATCAATCCCCAAAAGAACTCAATGAGGTAGATGAAATTATTATGTCCATTTTACGGAAGAAGTAGCTGAAGTGCAGAGAAGAGACTTTTCAAGTCTCACAGCCAGGATGTGGCAGATTCAAACCCGGGCAACAGAATAGCCACTGAAGCTCTTAAATACTACAGTGTCACAACTGTGCATATATGAGATGAAAGTTTCACCAGATGATGTGCACTTTTATTACACATAGCACATGCTGATATTTTCTTTTTTTTTCCTAGTGTTTTTTTTTTTAAGGCTGCTAACATTTAAAACTCACTGCATCTTAGACTCACTGATAACACTTAATCTGTGTTTGAAAATGATTATTTCAATTAAATGTTTCCTCTTTGGCTTTTACCCAGAGGTGAATTCCCACAATCTTATGCTTGCATTATTTCACTGGTCATCAGAAGGTAGGCCTCTGTCACTCAGACAGACATACAAGGCAGACGTATTACCTCCCTCCCTCTCCCCAACCTGCCTCTCCCCCATCAGGTGCACACAGTCCTTTTTTTCTTTTATCATTTTTATTCCTTTTTAATATCAGATAGATTCATTTTTTTATATGCTATTCAGCTTAGTAGGCTGTATTTTCTAAGATGCCAGGGATCTTGTCTGTTTCACTCATCATTAAATTTTCAGCCCTCATTTTTTTCAGTGATATTTATTTATTATATTTTAAAATAATATAATAGTTTATTTTTATCATTCTGTGCCTTTTTCCACCTCAGTTGTAATCCCCATGGGCTTCCCATCACCAAACCACCTGGCACACAGTCCTTTTTTAATTGGGGGGATGCCTTTTGCCTGTCTCTTACTCACTAGCCCAGCAGCATAGCATGCAAAGACACATGCAACTCCAGGCAGTCCTAGGCGGGTGGGGGGGCCTCAGGAAAAGGGTGTATGGTGTGCTTTGAACAGCCTGGGAGCAGGTCTATATAGGCTGCCGTGGGGCAGAAGATCCTAAAAACATCCTGAAAATCTGGGGTGGTGAAAGCGTAGAGCACTGGAAAATCATCTTCCTGCTCAAAAGTGGACTTATTTATTCATACCTAGCTTATTCATAATAGATTTTGAGATGGCTTCAAAAGCAGGCTATGGACAGTTTGTTTAAGAAAAGAAGGAAAGAAGAAAGTGGGCACAAAGATAGTAATATCTGGCCCTCCCTGGTGGCACAGTGGGTTAAAGCCCAGCACTAAGAAGCTTAAGCCACTTCCGCATGAGTTCGATCCCCACCTGCCCCGGAGGTGACCACATGGCGTGGCAGACCTCTCCTGATCCACCCACTGCTCCCTTCAGCAGTGTACTTCATCAATCTGCCTGTTTTGCTCCCCGCTCTGTCTCTGGTGAATCCTCTCACCCTCCGCATCTCTGGCCTGTACCCCAGTTCTGTATGAATAAATAAATAAATCTTTAAAAAAAAAAGATAGTAATATCTGATCTTTATAGTCTCCTGATATCTGCCCTGGGATTTCTTAGAAGTTTCATTAAACAAAAACCACAATAATTCACCTCTGCAGATGTCGACTCAGGAGCAGTTAAGTCAGTCCAAATGGGATCCCATGGCAGAATTTGCCAGTATTCTTTTTCTGATGAAGAATGACAAGTTCAGTTGTTTCAGATCCTCAGATCCTATAACCAGCTGGCATGCCTTACCTTCCATGGTATTTGGTGACCTTTTATATAGCAAAGTCACCAGATGCTCAAAATAAGGACAAAGAACTCTTTGAGTAACAGCAGGAATTCCTGCTAGACTCTGATTAGCTCTGTGACCCTGGACATATCACTTGACCTCTCTAGGTCTCTGTTTCCCCAATGCTTAGGGCAAGACAGTGGACTAGACTACCTCTAAGATTTTTCCAGTGGTTGCGTGGGAGTTCTAACAGAAGGGTCATGTCTGGGCAAAATGGGGGTAAATGTGGACCCCAAGGGGCTGATTACAGCCCACCAGTACATGCTATACCACCACCGAGAATGTTTCTCAACAAGAGTGAACAAACAGCTCTGACTGGGAGGGGCAGTGGTGGAAAATGGTATGCACTTGGCTGAAACCAGCCAGAGAAGAACAGGACAGACAAGTGAGAGGAAAGAGCAAAGCCTTGCCTTTGGGCCACACTGTCCATTGACACCTCTTACATTAAGAGTATAATAAGAAACATATGAGCAGGCCTGGCACTAAAGGCTCCTGTCCTATGTCCCTGGTTTTCTAATGCATGACTAGACACACCCAGGCCACCCACTGCATGTGACATGCAGGCTGAGCACGCCACCGCCCAGGTATGGTGTCTAGGACAAGGCTGTTACAGAGCTAAGAGGCATTTTATTTTGTTGCTTTGACTCCTCAGGGTACAGGTTACAAAAAGGCAGCCATTGGATTTTGTTGTTGTTGTTTGGCTTTTGCAGCATTTTCAGAAATTGTCAGTTTGTTGCCAACACTTGAGTGATTTTACAGTAAAATCCAGATTGGAGACTTTTCCTGAAAAGTCAGGTTGAGTACATTTTTACCGTTTCTCACAAGACAAATTTTGGCTGGGATTAAGTAGCAGCTGCCCCTGGAGGGAGGAGGTAGGTCTCTCTGCTTGGCCACAAACACCCCCTATCTGCATCCCACAGCCTTATATGCAGCCAACTTCACCAGGTAAAGCTTTCCGCATGGCCCTGAAGGATTGGCTTTTGATTTATGCCTCAGACTTGAGGAAGTCTTTAGATATACAAGTGCAAAGGGCACTGAGAAGGGAATCCAGCCTTTCTCCCAGCAATGAGGTCATGTCCCCATCCCTAGCCAACTGGTCTAGCTGGTCTAGTCCCACACCCCACCCAAGCCTTCTCCCCCCCACCCCCAATATCTCTGACCTATGTATATGCTTGGCCCTTTATTTCTCTGGCCCTTGCTTTGCTGAGTGCTTTCAACCACCCAGTCCAGCAGCCACAATCCGTACTATCTTGCCATCTCGCTGATGTTCTATCATCTGTTCAAGCTTGAACAGATGACTTGGAGCCCCATTCTTTCCTAATTCGGGTGGGGGTGGGGGTGGAGGAGTGGGGGGGAGCACACGCTAAAATGGTGTGCCAGCAACGGAAAACCAGCTGTCGTGTGAGTATATCACAGGAGTTCAAAGTTGGAATGTCTTTTTTTCCCTTTTGGGATTGGAAACTTTATTATGATGATGTGCACGTGCTGGTGTGGTTATGGGCTTCAGGGTACACGACCTCTCTTTATCAAATACATCTGAGAGCCTGCTGTGCACCAGGTTCTATGCTAAGTGCTTTATGTGGGTTACTGCTGAACTTCATTATAACCTTTCAAGGTAAAAATTTTCATCGCCAGTTGGAAAAACCAAGACTCGGAGAAATCACATCGTTAGCAAGTTGTGCGGCATGAATCTGCACCCAGCCCTGTCTTCTCCAAAATCTGCCAGACTGCTTCTATTAAGGAAGAAGGGGGGGAGGTCAAAGATATGGTAAAGGCAAGTGAGCACATTAAGCAGAAACTGAAGGATTGGGTAGTTATAGCTTTTTGTTTTTTCATGTCAAATATGTTTTCAGTTAACTTCAAAATACTCTCAGGCAAATTTTACCTCATGGTGATGAGTCAGAGTCCAGTCGCTTTTTGATCCTGCCTGGAAACCCAGAATGTGCATAACACAAAAAAATGGCCCATAAATAGACTCATAGAAGGACAACTTTGAAATAAGGCATCCCCAATGCATACATGTCAGCTCCGTGGACTGCTTTTCATTGTGACTTTGCTTTCCGAACCAAAATAGTGGCAAGTTGTCAAAGTCTATGACTGGCTAAGGGGCCAGGGGCACCTTGGGATGACCATCAAGGTCTGGGGCTTTCTAGCAGATGTAACCTAGTCTCAATTGTAGGTTGCAATTTCTTGAAGCAGGCTAGTCAACTAGTGAGCCTTATGACCCCAACCTCTTGTGCCAAGCAAATCTTAGTAACTAGATACCCTAAATTGTGATGTGGCCCTGTAAAGGGGTGTAACACATGGGGCTGAAGTCAGAGCACAGATTTTTAGGGAGGCGAAGTCCCTCTGGCCTCTCAGGAATGCCACTGAAGTACACCCTGAAGCAATAACTGCATATTATTTTACCCTGATGCATACCTGAACTTGTACCCTTCTCTCCAAAATAGCTCTGTAGACTTTATCTGGATTAGGGCAGTTAAAACTGCATTTTGAGTACAAGGACTAGCACTGTGATTTAAAAGATGGATCATTAATCTTAGGAAACGAACAAAGCTGACACTCTCAAATATAATTTGCCACTTGTAATCACTAAGTTGTCAACTTTCTATAGGAGTCCTCACTCGGCAAAGGTGGGGCTGGAGTGTGAAGGGCGAAGACTGTGACTTAGAATTTGAAAGCTCTTCACAGATTTCCACCCAAGTCTTCTCCCTGGGGGGTTTCTGGAATCGAAGGCCTTGCTGTTAGTCGGGTTTGAGCCTAGGCACAACTAGTGTTTCAAGCCCCAACCTTCTGAGGATGGCAGATGTTCTTTAGGGAACTGAGATTCAGGCCCAAGACCTTTCCTCTAAACCCTCCTGATTCGCCAGAGCACAATCAAGGCCGGAATTTTACCAGCCGCACGTCCAGGGGCTCAGACGTGAGCAGTCTACCCACTTGCTATCTCTAACTCCCAGGATCTGGGAGGAGAAGGACCAGACAGTATATATTCAGTTCCAAGTCAGGGCTAGGGCTTGGGGCGGGGCTACGTCCAGGGGCGGGGCTACGTCCAGGGGGCTGGGCTACATCTCGGGGGCGGGGCCACGTCTAGGGGCGGGGTCACGGCTGGGAGCGTGGGTAGGACGGACCGCGCAAGACTTACTGTGGTCGTAGCGGAGCGCAGAGTCGATGAAAGCCGCGGCCGAGTAGAAGAAGATGCTGAGGTCGAATGTGGGCAAGTCGTCCGCCTCCACACCGTGGTACTCAATGGCCAAGTCTCGGTAGTAGTCGGGGCCCGTGTCCACGTTCCAGCGCCCGTGGGCCGCGTTTAGCACGTGAGTGAAGCGCGCCTTCTGCAGACTGTAGCGGTCCAGCGCGGTCGCCCTGGACGCGAGAGAGAGAGAGGCTGGTGGGCTGTGTGGCAACTGGGGGGGGGGGTCGCCCACAGGTTTTGCTCTGGATTTCGGCGTCCAAATAAGGACTAGTCATCGAAATGACTTCCCTCGTCCAAAGGCCTGTTTTTACTGACCCTTTGGCCACCTATAGAAGGAAGGGGGTGGAGGATGGTGTCGGGGAGCTATGTGTTGTTACATTATTCACCAGATAAAGAAGAGCTTGGTGCCAAATACTGTGGTGATTGCAGGAATAGGGGTCGCATCTACCAAATCCCCCAAAAGGCCACCAAAATAACCTGTCAGGCAAAAGTCAACGTGAGTGTGAGGGCCGCCTTCACAGAACCTGTGGGGACTCCTTGAAGCTGGTCTCTTCTGTGAAACCCCCACATGTTTATAGGGTTTGGAGGTCAGGGCTCCAATGAATGGTTAAAGGCGGGGCTTTCAAGGCGAGGATTTGATTGGAAGAGGATCGAGCAAAATTCTTGATGTCCAGGGGATTGCTGAATTCCATACAAAACCTTTTTTTTAAATAAGTGGGTCATTGTGCAATTGGGCCAGACATTGTTCTGAAAAAGAGAACTGTTTGAACAATCTCTTTGAATTGACTGCATGGAGGTGCCTTAAGTCAAAAATGAAATTATTTATTGGTTTATGGTCTTTCTAGTAAAAAAAATGTTCAGGTAGAGAGGAAAGTCATGTTGTTGAAGTAGGTGGCCTGGAACATGAGGCAGTATTATTTCTGTCTAGAAGGGAAGGGGGAGAGACCATAGGAGAGAAGCTGCCTTCTTACAAGTGTCCCCTCTTGGTAACTAGAGAAGAGGGAGGCAAGGACACACCAAGCCAAGGAAATAGCACAACCTAAGGGACAGATGCTGGAGATAATAAAGGCCTTTCAGGAAATGTTCATTATTTCCTAGAATCAGTTGTTTATTCCTAAATAGAGATTGAGATAGAATCTGTTGTGTGCCAGCACTGTCTTGGGTGCTGATGATCCAGCAGTGAATAGGTTAGTCAGCGTCTCTCAGGAAGCTTAGATTCTGTTGGGAAGAGCAAATAAGCAGCGACTGAATAAACAAGATAATTTCAGAGAGTGGTTAAGAGTTGTGCAGAACCACCAAGGGGTTCTGCTGTAGGTAAAGTGCTCAGAGGAGTCCTCTGTAGAAGAGGCATTTAAGTACAGACTGAATGATGGAGCTAGGTGGAGGAAGAGTTGGAGGAAAAGTGGTTGGTTGGTTCAGGCAGAGAGACAGCAAATGCTGAAACAGAAGGGAAACCCATGTGACTGTCTGGCAATGGGAATTTGGATTTAACAGGAAATGAGAAAAGTAGGCAGAGGATGAGTCATGATGACCTTGCAGGCCTTCAAGAAGAATTTGGAGGTTATTCTAAATATGGGGGAATGCCATTTGCTACAGAGAATTTTATTTATTTTTGCCAAAGAGGATTTTAAGGAAGGGATTGTTTTACTCTTTTGAAGATCATTCTGTCTGATGTGTGGAAATGGGTTGGGGAGAGGCAGACAGTAGAAACAGGAAACTCTGCTGAAGGATATTGCAGTTGTATAGCTAAATGAGGGAGATACTTGGACTAGGGTGTTAGGCAACAGGACTTGCTGATAGATTAGGAATGAAGGCAGGGAGGTGGGGATTTGACCAGAGCAGAAGGGTGTGAGGGGAGAGTCAAAAAAGGTTTGAAGAGGTTGAGGAATGTGATGATGAAAATGTTTGATTGCCAGGATCTGTATTTGCAGGTGAAGGATAGCTTTTGATAGCATTTGAGGAAGGGTATCCCCAAATGGGTTTTAAGACAAACTGTCCCTCAACAGCACAAAGGTCAGTCCCACAGTTCAGCAAAGAGGTGACAGGGTCTGGAACTACAACTGTAAGAGGCCAGAAGTGCTGTGTTCCAGCTGAGGGTTCATCTCAAGGCCAGTAGTGAAGGAATGTGGACAGACTGACCAGATTGGAGGCCAGTATGGGTCAATGCCTTGGAATAAGAAGGCCCCTTCACCAGGAGCACAGGCCATACTCTTCAGTCAACACCCCCTTGTCTATTACTGGCTTCCTGGAGGGAACAGAAAGGAGCCCCTAGCTTGGGAAGGAAACACCTGAACATAGGCATTGAGCTTTTAGAAACATTTGTGGAAGCCCATTGGAACTGAGATGGGGAGATAAGAGCTCCACTTCAGCCTTTGGTGCTGCCATCCTGACTATGGAACATACTCTGCTTTCAATTTTTCCTCGGAAAGGTCTGTTTCTCATTTTTCTCCTTGTCCCAAAGTATGTATACAACAAACATTATGCTTTTGGGACATAGATCTGTGCTCAATTAAAGCCTCTGCTAATGTAGTCCATCTTGCTGAGTAGCAATCAACCTCACTTTGAGGTTGAGCTCAGTGGAAAAATTAAAATTAACTGTCCTTGACAGGAAGTTCCTACCCACCATAAAGACTGTTCTCTCTGGGTTCAGCAGCTGGGTTTCAACATAATCAAATGACAATTTGAATAAATAACAATTTGCACTTTGCTGCTTTTGGAGTCAGGGATTAGGGTAGATATGCACCAAGACTCATGCATGGCGTGCCACCTCTACTCTCCCTCCCCCCACACCCCACAGAGCTGCCTTTGGCTGTGTCCAATGGAGTGAAAAGGACGTAGGGGAAATATTGGACTTAGTGGGCATCTAAGGCCCACTGCATGGTGTCCAGGTGCTGTGGCTAGCTAGGGAGAAGAGGACATGATAGCCTCATCACACCCCAGTCAGGACATTTCCCCCTTGTTTGGTTTTTTCAGAGTCTACTTGAGGACTGGGAAGAGTATCCATAGCAGAATGGGGATCGGCAGACAAAGAGCGACTGTTGGTATTCTTGGTGGACAGGGTTGTTGATGGAGGCAGGTTCCTAGTGGGCCGAGGGCCCTAGCTCAGCAGTTATTGGAGGATGCTGACTGGTGTTGTATTATTTTATTTTTTGAAGTCTCAGGGCCACCTGCGCAGATGATAATGTGAGAAAGGACACTTAAAAAATGTGTCTGCTGAAGAAGAAAGTTCAAAAGAAAAACAGATTTAGGAATTTACTTATGGAATCTAGATGATGCAGGAGCTTTTGTTTCTTGTTATTTAAGAAAAATCCTAGATGAAAGCAATCTGTTCATCTTAAAAATAATTTTAATTACAAAATAACACATGTTCAATGTAGAATATGCACAGTTCTGTCTCTCTCACACACACAAACACACTCACAAATCTGTATATCTACCCCCTGGAGATAGATTATTTTTTTATATAGGCACTCAAGTTGCCTTTTTATGTACAGATTTGTGCATTTTTACCCCATTAAGAACCTGTTTTGGGATATTTGTGTTTCTTCTCCTTCTGTCTCACATTGTCTCTCTTTCCGTCTCTTCCCACCCACCTCTTCCCCCCAAAAAAGAGTCAGTGTTGAGTATTATAATAAATATTGAAAATGAACAACTTTGCTGTATTTCTTTGGACATGTCTCTATGTCCAAAATCTAAAGAAGATTTTTTAAAATGGAATTTCTGGTTGATAGGAGCATTTTTTTTTTAAAGATTTATTTATTTGTTCATACAGAACTGGGGTACAGGCCAGAGGCTCAGGGGCGGCAAGAGGCTTCACCAGAGACAGAGTGGGGAGCAGAACAGGCAGATCCATGAAGTACACTGCTGAGGGGAGCAGCAGGCGGGTCAGGAGAGGTCTGCCACGCCATGTGGTCACCTCCGGGGCAGGCGGGAATCGAACTCATGCAGAAGCGGCTTTAGATTCTCAGTGCTGTGCTTTAATCCGCTGCACCACCAGGGAGGGCCTGATAGGAGCATTTTTAACACACTTAATGCTTGTTACTAAATTGTCCTCCAGAAAGCCTGCTCAATTACACATACTGATTTTTACTCTTTGTTAGTTCCATAGGCAAGTAAAAAAGTGTCTTGTTTTCATTAATTTGTTTTAGCAATGAAGTTGGACAAGTTTTCACACATTTATTGGAATTGTGTCATTTACTGTTGAAGAGCATTGTCGCATCCCTTTTTGACCCAGTTCTTGTCTACTCTTCTGCCTTCCTGCCAGCCCTGGATTCTGACTGCATACCAAAGATATGTATAGAAATCTTTTTACTCATTCCTGTTTCTTCAGCCAGACCTCCTGTCTTTTGTCTTCCTTCTCCCTTATTTTGCCTCCTCCAGCCACCTTCAGGCCCTCCCAAGTTCCTCCAGGGAACTTGCTGCAGCCCCACCCTTGAGGAATGGCAAATGAAAGCATTCTCTGTGAAGCAGTCTCCTTGGGCAGCTCTTGTATGTTCTGTTGCATCAGGCCCCTTGATCCCGTCCTGGTTCCCAGGCACACCCTCAGCATCTGCCTGAAAACCCATTTTCCCAGGTGGCGCTGCAAGAAGGGCATGAGGGACGTGCATGGCCTCTACTAGTTTCCTTGTGACCGGGACCAGCTGCTCCCATGTCGATAGCGTTCTTTCTTCAAAAGAAAGTCCACTGGTGAGAGAGTGGTGTCTGTGAGGATCTGAGGGCTTCCTGAACCTTACGGGGGCCCATGTATGTCAGAGGCCTATGGCCCAGCTCCTTATTTATTTTTTTTTTTTAAAGATTTATTTATTTGTGCATACAGAACTGGGGTACAGGCCAGAGGCTCAGGGGCGGCGAAAGGCTTCACCAGAGACAGAGTGGGGAACAGAACAGGCAGATCGATGAAGTACACTGCTGAGGGGAGCAGCGGGCGGGCCAGGAGAGGTCTGCCACGCCATATGATCACCTCCGGGGCAGGCGGGAATTGAACTCATGCGGAAGCGGCTTTAGATTCTCAGTGCTGTGCTTTAACCCGCTGCGCCACCAGGGAGGGCCCCTTATTTGTTTTAATGCATGTGATGTTGTTGTGATCTTGTCATTTCACAGACATGACCCTACTGATGACTTCCCTTGAGGGCTTAACAGTAACTATCCCTTGCAGGTGGATTTGAAAACA